GGTGGTGGAAAGTGCTGTCAAGTCGCAACCAACTTATAGCAACCCCACAGGGTTTTCAACATAAGAGATGTTCAAAGACAGTCTGTCACTGCCTGCCTCTGTGTTGCAAACTTGTGACTCTGGACTTCCTGGGTGGTCTCCCATCCAAATACTAACTAGGCCCAACCCTGCTCAGTTTCTGAGATCTGTCAGAATCAAGCTAGTGTGGGCTATCTAAGTCAGGTCTACTTATACATAAATGCCAGAAGTATAAAACATTGTTAATAAACTAGAAATCACTCTTTCACTCTTAGTAAATTCATCTCTGCACATAAGAAACCACAAAATCTAGCCCAGTAATGTCATTCAAGCAGGGGCAAAAGTGTAACCTTTAATAAGGGAACTGCAGTAAAAACCATCTGTAATGGCATCAGATTTCCATATGCAGGAGAGGTGAGGCTTAGAAAGAAGTTACTTGTACAAAACTAAATTAGACCTGGCCTACATATGCAGCAGATTGAGGTCACAGAGTAGACAACACCACTTCAAGATACAAGTGGTGCATCTTATTTTTGAATAATTCTATACACACACAAACACACACACACACATTTGTAAATAAAATACTAGGAAGAAAGGTTCTAGCCCTGGCTGCTCCCTTCTGTCACAGTTTTCCTAAAAAACAGAAAGCTGTTTTAGTAGAGGATAAATGAAAATATGATCTGCAATTTGAAGTTCTGCAGTCCATTCTACCGCCTTAACTGCACACATACTGCTGCATATATAGACCCTAGTCAGTAGCAATTTGCTAGGTCCCCAAACAGAGCAGGCCATGTAATCCAGAAATCAGAGTGCCACAAGTAGAGACCAAGGGCATATACACCGGACGCATGTCCAAGATCTTTTTAACCACCCTCCCACATTCACAATCAGAGTGAAAAGAATTAACCCTTGAGACACTTATTTACTAAAATATGTATGTGTTCCCCCACCCCACTTCCTCTTGGCTCAAGGCACCTTTCTGACAGTCAGAGTTGTTAAAATACTGTAAAAAGTAATATTAATATTAATCTGTGACAGTGTTGATGAAACTATTTAAAATTAAAAGTACATATAAGATCTGACATGTGATTAGACCAAGACCAAAGCTGCATTCTGTCTCTATAGTAACCAGTCAGAAAACTTATAAATAGGGCACTTTTGTTACTATTAGGGCATTTTTATCGCACATTTTTCCAGTAAGGCTCAAGGAGGCTAACAAAAGATATTAAACTATATAACAGCAATTAACTACACAGACTTCCAGTAGATCCCAGGGAGGCTGCAGAAACTGTGAATAGGTACCCGGAGGCAGTTTGGGGATGGATGAGAGCTAACAAGATGAAACTTAATCCTGACAAAATGGAGATGCCACTGGGGGGAGGTTTGACCCAAGAGTCGGGCAACTCCTGTTCTGGAACGGGTTGCAGTTCCCCAAAGGAGTAGGTTTGAAGCCTGAGGATGCTGCGGGACACAAGTGTCCTGTTGGATAAACAGGTGGCAGTGGTGGCCAGGGACACCTTTCACCAACTTTGACTGGTGAGCCATCTCTGACTCTTCCTGGGTAGGAAAGATCTTGTCACTGTGGTGCATGGCCTGGTGTCACAGCCCTTCTCCACTCAAACAGAGTGCCTACTACCCTCTACAACTTCTCTTATTTAGGAAATGGGTTATACGTAGATCAGGACTTCACACTTGCCACCCTTCTTGTCTCTTTTAAAATCTGCAGAGAGTCATGACCATCTTATACCTCAGGTCCCCTTTCTCATTCCCAGAGACATCCACTGACAGGTTAGCCCAGCCCCCTTTAATAATCAATCCTCACTCACATAGTTGGGGCTCAAACACTATATCCCATCACTAGTTGCCACCATTTATTCATACCTTATAATATATGTGTGTAGACTGAGATATTAAATTGTGTGTATGTGCTTCTTTCCCTTAGACATGCAGCCCACACAGTTAATCAAACAAGAAAGCTTTTATTTATGACTAGTAGCAAAACTCGTTGTAGAAGCAATACAACGAGCTCTAGAAAGTAGCTTACAGGCCTCTCTCCGTGGCACGCATTTCCACTGGCCTCAGCCAGGGAGTGCTTCCCCCACTTGCTGAGCCAGTACCAGGGCCCGTGGAGCTCCTGGATCTCGGCCTCGCCCTCCTCCTTGGCTGCCTTCTTCTCCATGGTGCTGGGCCATGGAAAGTGCATAGAAGATCTGGCTTGCACTCTCTCCCGCTGGGAAGGGGGATGCACCCGCCTCGCCTTCTGATAGAAACTTGGCACCCACAGCCAGCAGCTCTCGTGCCCTTGAATGGGGGGGAAGACCCGTGGATTCCGAAGGCGGTGGCACACCACATGGCAGGGCGCAGGAGCGGAGCTGGTGCTGGGCGCCTGGTGGAAAGGGGCCGGTGCCCTCGAGCGACTCCTACTGGAGGGCAGTGGAGCAGCCAGGGGAGGTAGGCCTGAGCAAGGGACGGAGCATGGCGGTTCTGGGCTGGCCTCGGAGCTGGGGCACATGGGGAGCAATGCAGCCGCCGCCCCGCAAGGTAAGCCTCTCCCCAACGGGCCTGGCGGGGCACCTCTGCTGCCCTCCACCTGCCCACCGGCCCTTCCCTGGTTGTTGCCAGCACCAGCAGCAGCGCCTGTCTGTTCTGCGCTTGCCTTCTGAGCAGAGTAGGACTCAGGCTGGCACACTTAGCCCGCAGGTGGTGGGGGACCCCGGAGTGAGCACTGAGTGGCCTCCCCTCAAGCCAGAGGTCCTTCCTCCCCTGGCCCTGCCTGGGGCCCTGGACTATCTCCCAGGTGTTGATTGTGTTGTTCTGAGCTCTTTGAGGCGCTGGCAGCACCTTTCCTACGCTCGGGGCTGCACTTCTGATTGGGCTGGATCTCCCTGGGGTGGGAGGGCTGAGAGAAGGAGGATTGGGTATGAGGGGGCTCTCGCCGCTCCACTGTGGTCCCAGTTTTCTGCCCTTTTGCTCTGCTTTCCCCCTTTCTCCCAGTCGGCCTCCTTAGCCTCCATTGTACAGAATGCTGCAGCCGGAATGTTGACTGGAGGGGGTCACTGGGACCATACCACTCCATTCTTTTACACTGACTCTCAATTTGGTGCCACACCCAATTCAAGGAACTGGTATTGACCTGTAAAGCCCTATGCAGCATACTTTACGGACTGCCTTTTTCCATATGAAAAAGAGTAGACTTTTATACCCCACTTTTCTCCTCCTTAAGGAGTCTCAAAGAGGCTTACAAGCACATTCCCTTCTTCTCCCCTCAACAGACACCTTGTGAGTTAGAGAACTGTGACTGGCCCAAGGTCATCCATCAGGCTTTATGTGGAAGACTGGGGAATCAAACCTGGTTTTCCAATTTAGAGTCCACCATTCTTAATGACTGCACCATGCTGAGCCTACCTGTCCACTCTGGTTATCTTCAGAAACCTTGCTTTGGGTGCCCTGGCCATCTGAGGCTAGAGAGGTGGCATCCTAAGAAAAGGCCTCTCGGTTGTGGCACCTAAACTTTGTAAACCCTCCCCAAGGAGACTGTCATTGTCTTCTGCCAGCAGATGAAGACTTTTGTTTGTTTGTTTCACTTGGCATACCCCCAATAAAACTCTTATTGGCCATCCCTCCTGGTTGTGTTTGTTTGCATGTTTTATCGAACTATTAAACACACACACACACATTTTAAATGTTATTTTTTATATTTAAATGTTTTAATGCCTGATGTTTGCTGTCTTGGGGACCCTATCTGGGTCAAAAGGGCGGTATATAAATGTTCTAAATGAATGAATAAATAAAATTCTGACTATAAAACGCAATCTCAATCCTTTTGCCGCAGTAATAGAAATCCTATGGATTTTGATATAATTTCAACAATTCTCAACAGAATGCCCTCCAAAATAACAGGTCCATCAACAAGCTAACGGGAAGGAGGTTTAACATACAGCCTCCAGAAGGTGATTCAAAAACAATGACACAGCAATGGAAAAAAGCCCAATTACTAACAAGCCAGGTAGATCACTTGCAAAGAAGGGAAAGCCAATAGAGATTTGGGGGGCTAATGATGATGACTGCCTGTCAGGTACTTAGAATATACTGCCTCTAAATGTGAAGCCATCTGCAGGATATCTTTCCTACTTTGCTTCAGATCTCCTACTTTGCTCCAGATTAGACTACTGTAACTCGCTCTACGCAGGACTACCCTTGAGACTGACCCAGAAACTCTAACTAGTCCAGAACACGGCAGCACATGTCCTTACAAGCATTCCATCTAGAGCCCACATACAACCGGTGCTCCGCCAGCTGTACTGGCTCCAGATCAGATTCAAGGTTTTGGTTTTAACCTTCAAAGCCCTACATGGTCTGGGACCAACATATCTTCAGAACTGTCTCTTCTGGTACACCCCCCAGAGAACATTCCACTCTATGAATAATAATCCTCTGGTATTAGCCTAGCCTCAACCCAGGCCACAGCCTTCTCGTCTCTGGCCCCGGTCTGATGGAATGCCCTTCCAGATGAGATCCAGGCCCTGCAAAATCTGGTCCAGTTCTGCAAGGCCTGTAAAATAGAAATGTTTCATCAGGTATATGGCCGCATCAGCCATATACCTGATGAAAACCCAGTAACTTTTAGAAAGACACTTTTTCTTTTGCTTCATTTATACCCCACCTTTCTCCCTAATGGGGACACAGAGCTGTTTACATTGTTCTCTCCTTCATGTTATCCTCACAACAACCCCGTGAGATAAGTTAGGTCAAAAGAGTGTGACCAGTCCAAGATTGCCCGGCAAAGTTTTTATGACAGAGCGGGGATTCAGACTAGGATTTCCCAGATCGTAGTCTGGCACTCTAACCTTTGCACAACACTGCCTGACAGAAACCACTGAATATATAAACGGCTTTTCAAACAATAACAGAGGCGATTATCAGCAATATATTTAATGGAAAATCTCACACAATTGCTCATTTAAAAGAATCATACTTACCAATCTGCAACTGGCTTAGCAATGGCTTCAAAAATTTCATCTTGTTTTGCTTCCTGATCAAAAACTTTCTGAAATCTTCAAATTATAAACAATTAGTCATCCAGAATCTTAAAACACTACTTGATTCATATTTTTAAAAAATATGTTTGTAACTAAGTCAATGTTTACATCACTAGACTTACATAACCCAGCACAATGTTTTCCCTGTAGTCTTTACCACACTATGCTGTTGTGCTATTGTATCCACAGACTGTAAACACTGTTGCTTTCACAAAATCTGTACAATAAAATCCTCTCATAAAAATAATACTGCTTAGAAAAAGAAAACTGTATTTTACTACTGTCAAGGGGATCAGTGCATCCAAATGGCCCCACACAGAAACTTGTATAAGCAACCCTAGGATTAGAGAGTGCATCAACATTAGTTATTTTCACTTACTTCTCTTAAGAAAGTTATTGTAGAAGAGGAGCAAACATTTCATAACCAGTTGTGCCCTACTTCCATTACCTAATACAAATGAATAGCTAAATTTTAGCACTTTAAAGAGGTTTTACACTTCCATCAGACCCTGGTAAGAAAACAATGCTCTCTATAAAACTAGCCTGATACCCATACTTCGCTACGGTATTTAAATTCTGTAAATCCAGTTATAATACTGATTATGTGAAGTTTGAAATGTAATATTTGTTGTTGGAATTCTAGTGGAGAAGATCGTAGCTTAAAAAACAAAGTGAGACATACGTCCTGGTTTTTTTCTCTACTGAAGGACCTCTCTGTAGACCACATTGGTGGTTCTGCCCTCAGGTGCTAGGATCACCAGGCTGCTTGGTGAGCTCACTCTGGAAGCAGTAGTCTGTTAAGTCAATTCCTGCCACCTTCAGTGTCTGGCCTTGGGATTTGTTAATGGTCATAGCAAAGCAGACCTTGAGGGGGAACTGCAGCCTCTTGAACTTTGCCACTTTCCTAAGTTACCTTCTCCTTGTAGCACTGGTGTACCTGGCTCAACATTTGCCAGGAGCTTTCTTGGGGGCAGTGAGAGATGAGAGGTGAGAGGGGGAGTTGGTCTGAGGGAGTGGTGATGTGGTGGACATTTCTTCAGGTTCATGAGGGAGGCATGCATCACAATGGCTCCTAGAAAGGTCCTTTACAATCTCCTCATGAACATTCATAAATTCAATTGCAATGCTGGCTGTTGTGAGAAATGTCTGTTGAGGAGTCTTGAATCACTGATTTCTGTAACTGTCCTCAACTGTCTGCAGTCTCTTCTAACTGTGTTTTTAACCTTAAAACATTGAGATCCACAACTGAGCAATCAGAAGGAGGTGGGTGCAATCAGGCAGGTTTTACCTTAGAACTCTGAGCTACACAGTTGACCAGGGGGGGGGGGAGGCAGCACCCTGCCAGACAAATGGAAAACAACACATTTTGCCCCTTTTTTGCCCCTTTTTTACCCCCTTAGGGGTCATGTTTCTCAGAAATCTCTTCATAGTAGGGGTTGACATCATGGTAGGAATGCACTCCCCTTACTTTGGGTTTCTTGGTGCAGGGGTTTGGTCTGGGCATTGAATATTTGTGGGAGGAGGGGTGCAGGGCATACTTTTTTTTACAAAAATCTTTCTCATTTATGTTACATTTAAGAAGGGTACATAACTAGGTATTCAAAACAACATCTGAGCAATCAAATATTAAGCAAGTTCATATGAACCAATTTTCTAAAAACTACATTGTGAGAAGTTAAATAACCTAATACAGGAAACCACGTTTCTACAAATTTGGGGTACATTTCCATAGTGGGTGGGAATGTGGCTAAAGCCATTGGAAAGGCTGGGCCAGCAGCATCGCCAAGGTGATCCTGCTGGGGTGGCCTCCCTGATAGATTAAAGTACCCTGGACCTGCTCCTACACCAGACAAACACCTGCTTGTCTGGTCTAAGGGGGGGGGATTGTGCTTAAAGGCATCAAGGAGACTGGGCCAGCAGCAATGCTTAGGCAATCCTGCTGAGCAACCTTCCATGACGGCTTTAAGGACTCCACACCCCTTCCAACCCCTGAGAGATGGTTGTCTGTCAGGTGTAGGAGAGGTAGCGTGTCTGCAGGCATCAGGGAGGCTGGGCCAGCAGGACTGCTAAGGCAATGCTGCTTGGGCAGCCTCCCTGATGGCTTTCAACACTCTGCCCCTGCTCCTGAACCTGACAGACAACTGCCTGCCAGGTGAAGGAGGGGTGAGCAGGAATGCAGGAATGTGTCTAAAGCCACTGGGGAAGTTGGCCCAGCAGCACTGCTAAGGTGTTTCTGCTCAGGTGGCCTCCCTGATGGATTAAAGTACCCTGGCCCTGCTCCTACACCTGACAGACACTCGTCTGTCTGGTGTTGGGGGGAGTGTGTTCAAAGGCATCAGGGAGGCTGAGCCAGCAGCTGCCCTAAGGCAATCTTGCTGAGCAAGCCTCCCCGACAGCTGTAAGCATCCCACCCCCTCTCCTACACCTGACAGGCAGCTGCCTGTCCAGTGTAAGAGGGGAGGGGTATTGTAAGCGTTGTAGAGGCTAGCGCTAGACGCTAAGGCGTTACTGCCGAGGCAGGCTCCATGATGGCTTTAAGCACCCTGCACCCACTGCTGCAACTAACAGACAGCCACCCATCAGGTGTAGGAGGTGGGGGGGAGCATGATTGAAGGCATCGGGGAGGCTGGGCCAGCAACACTGCTGCACCTCACAGGTAGTTGGCCATTCCTGATTTTCTCAACTGTCATGAGCTCTCTGCAATCTCCTGTAACTTTTTTTTAACCTCAGAACACTGAGCTCTGCAGCTGACCAGTCAGAGAGTGGGGGGTGCAAGGAGGCAGCAGCCTGGCAACCACATAGGAAGCAATGGGGGGAGCACATGTGACCCCTTTAGACCCCCCCGAGGGTCAATTTTCTAAAAATCCCTTCTTAGTGAGCATCTACGTCATTGTAGGAGTGCTCTCCCTGAATTTCATGTTTCTAGGTCCAGGGGTTTGGCCTGGGTGTTGATTTTACGGTGCTGGAACTTTCTTTTATATAGATAGATGTGAAAATGCATGCTCCCTATTGAAATGGTTCCATATAAGAGAAAATTTATAATTTGGGTCTTTTGAGAGATTTTTATAATTTAAGACAGGGGTCTCCAACCTCTTTGAACCTGTGGGCGCATTTGGAACTCTGACATGGCATGGTGGCTTCAGCAACAAAATGGCTGCCACAAAATGGCTGTCATGAGAGGCTCAGCCAGCCACAAAATGATTACCACAGCTTAACTTCAGTAACACAGTGCAGATCCTTGCGCTGTGGTAGCACCTGCTGTCAAGCAATATTTTAACTATCTGCACAGCCAATCAAATCTCCAATAGTCAATTAGAAGCCTTGCTGGGCAAAAGTCCTAGTGGCCCTGCTAACTTCCAAAAAATACTTCACAGCTGCCTGAAAAGATATTGGTGGGTTTCATGGCGACCATGAGCACCATGTTGGGGACCCCTGATTTAAGAGTTTGAAGTAGAAGTTTCACCAGTTCAGAACTTTTGAGCTAATTATACGTTGTGCCCAAAACTCTATGAAGTTTGAGCTCATTTAATTTGTTTCAAATAAACAAACAGTACTAATTACTTCAGTCCTGACACCAACAAACCCAAACCTTTCCTTCTGAAACCTACCTGGTTTTAGTGGTAGAGATGAAAAGGGCTGTCACTGTGGCCATAATTAAGTCCTGGAACATGATCATGGGCACCAAAACTGCTAGGATACGTGATTTCCCAGGGCTTCTTACTAAGGACCCCAGAAGACATGAGACAGCTAATTCCAAGGGATCTTGGCACTCAAGAGTTCTGCTCCTGTAGGGCTGTATGGACAACAGCATCTCTTTTTGGCTCGTACTAGCTAAGTTTTGGTGAAAGGGCAGGGAGCAGCAGAACGCTTGTTAGAGGGCAAAGAGGTTTGGGCTTCTCCAGACCTCATCACACCCTCAAGAGCTCCCCTCCCACTTGTTAATATCTTCAGTACAGAAACCAGGGGAGTGGGGAAGCTGGTAACATATACAACAGAAATCACCAAGTTCTGTCATTTAAATGATATAAAATCTCTAAAATAAACTAAACACAAAGAAACCCTGTAGAATATTAACTTACTTGAACTTGTAGCTTTCTCGTTTATTATTGACAAATCCATCTGCCAAATCACGGGGCACAATAATCTCCAAACTGAACACTGATGTCTCATCTTCACCAACTGAATATATCTGTAAAACATATATGTGGCCTTTGTAAATTACTTTTATATTGATGAAATTGTATCAGTATAAAGCAATGCTCCCGCTAAGCTGTGGAGTCTTGTGAGCAAAATTCTACTTTGTGACCTACAGGCATTAAAGTTGTGAGCAAGCAATTTGGCTACTGCATAAATTAGTTTACTCTGGAGCCATCGTTCCTGAGTCAAGACAAAAATGTGTGAGACGGAGGCTTAAAAACTGTGAGCCAGCTCACACTAACTCAACTTAGAGGGAACACTAGTATAAAGTACTATCCATACACATAAAACTGTTAGAGTCTAAGGACTAACATCTAATATAGTATGATTTTGTTCATGGGCTATCCCTAAAGAAAACTGTAATGCCAGGAAAGGGTTATATATTTGTTATTTAGTAAGGCATACACAGGTACAGGAGATACTCTTTGTAAAAGATACATGTGATCTCTCTAAATTACCTTTATATTGATGAAATTATATCAAAATAATTGCTTTTCTCACATACTACTGCACAAACTGTCCATACACATAAAACTGTTAGAATCTAAGGACTAACATTAAAGAGTATGATTTTGTTCATAGGCTATACCTTTCAATAAAAAAAACTATCATATCAAGAAAGGGTTACATCTGTGTTAGTAAGGCACACACAGATATAGGAGAGAGGGGGCCAGTGACTCATATGACTTTGGCTGGAATCCAGGTGGGGCCACTGGAGAAGTTCCGGGGGTAGACGGAGTCGCCTAGAAAGAACCCCCGGGGTGCTGCTTGATACTTGAGGGCCGCATGATGCTCCGCCGCACGGTCGGGTGCATCCGGTCTAGGCATGTGGTGAGGCGTTGCTCCATGAGGAGTTCCCCTGGGCTGCGGTCGGTGCAGGTGCATGGGGAATGGGGTCCCCCGCTGGCCAAAGAGGAAGGTCGCGAGCCAGTGGTCCCAGTCTCCCTGATCGATCCGCAGCAGCGCATCCTTGGTGGTCCTCACCATCCGCTCTGCCTGACCGTTGGTGGTGGGGTGGAAGGGCACAGACCTTACGTGCCTGATGAGGTGAAGGCCGTCCTGTTGGAACTCACCTGAGGTGAAGGCTGTCCTGTTGTCCAACACCACGGTGTCAGGGATTCCGTGGATACAAAAGATTCTCCGGAGGCAACAGTTTGCTGCTTGGGACGAACTGGAAGGGACTGGGACTACCTCTAGCCATTTTGTGTAGGAGTGGACTCCCACTGCCTGGGTGGTGCCCGGGGCAGTTCTGGACGGGTCTCTTGGCAAGCCTGTCAGCATTTGACGCAGTCCTCTATCTCGCTGTCCATGCCGGGCCACCATACGTAGCTGCGGGCCAGTGCCTTTATCCATACAATGCCTGGATGTGTTTCGTGAAGCGCCGCTAAGACTTGCGGCCACAACAGAGGTGACACCACGACCCGGCTTCCCCACAGCAGGCACCCCTTGTGTGCTGACATTTCGTCCTGTCCAGAGGAGAACGCCGCAAATTCAGGGCCCGTGTGGCTGGCAGGCCATCCCCTCCCCACCCAGTCCAGAACAAGGGAGAGGACACAGTTCCGTGCGGTGCTGCTGGAGACGTCTGATACCTGGAGCGGTCGGTTGGGAAGGTCCTCCAGGAACAGGATCTGATGGGCAGGAGCTGGGTCCGGGTTGCAGGAGGGCAGCAGCAGGTGGCTGAGGGCATCAGTGTGTCCCATTGACTTCCCGGGGTGGTAGTGAAGACTGTACTGATACTCTGGGAAGCTCCCGGAGGTGATTCGCCCACGCGCGGCCAAGGGGGGGGGAATCCGCACAAGCGGAGACCCTAAGGAGCCTCAGTGAGAGGCTCCGATCCGGGGCGCTCAGGGGATGTGCCTCTTTCCCAGCCCGAAGGTCGGGAATCGAGGCTCGCCCCATGCCCCAATGGCCCTTGCCGCGGTAGTGCCCTGCACAGGGACTAGCAGAGCCGCCGGACGTCACCGAGTGATGAAGCGGGAAAGCGTTTGAACGGAAGATATTCGGCTAAAACTGTGAGTTGCCAGTCAGAAATGGGAAAAAGGAGTGAAGCGCATTCCCCCCCCCCCGTGAAAAAGCGCAGGGAAGGAGGGGGAAAGGCCCCCCCCGACTAAACAGAGACTGATTTAACAGAGAGAAGAGGGGGGAAGCACGAACTTTTAAAAAGTAAACAATAAAATAAAGATGTTGGGGCAGAAAAAGTTTCAGGAGAAGCCGCCAAAGAAGCTGGGAGGAACTTCCGGTGCTGGCTCTCGCCCCTTGGAGCCGGCTGTCACTCAACAGGAGAGCGAGCTTTTGCGCCCTCTGCTGGAGCAAATGCAAAAAATAAATCAAACGTTGACAAGCATGAAAAGTGTCTCAGTAACCAGCAGATCCAGTTGAATGATACAGCTAAGAAAATGGAAGAAATCGCACAGAAATGTCTGGTCTCAGCAGAAGATACTCAAAAGGTCAAGAAGAAGGTGGATAAAATGGGAAAGCATCAAGAAATGCAAGATAAAAAGTTATTGATGCTTCAAATGGAAAAATCAAATTTGACTCTCCGATTTCAAGGCATAAAAGAATTGGAAAAAGAAGACCTCCGAAGTATTTTAGCGGAAGCTTTGGCACCACTCACCGGCTGGGAAGCGGATAAAATAAGCGAGGAAATGGATCTGGTCTACAGAGCCTATTCCAATTTTACAAAGATGAATAATTTGCCGGCAGAAGTGGTGGTCAAGTTTACAAAGCAGAGAATTCGGGATCAAATATTGAGAGCGTCTTCGTCAACGCCTATGAAGATTGGAGAGCAGACGGTCAGAATTTTGAAAGATGTTCCATTTGAAATTCGAATGAAGAGGAAGGCATATAAAGGACTGACCTTATTCTTGCAAAATCACCAAATTAGTTATCGCTGGTTGATTCCAGAAGGACTTATCTTCAAGTTTAAAGATAAAAGGGAGAAGATTGACTCCATTTTCAAAGCTCAAGACTTTTTGAAGAGACACACCAGCTCAGAGGAGGCAGCACTTGCCAGATGGGAAGAATTGGACAGTGAACGAGACAGCGGCTCGGAGAGGGAGGACAAAACTCCGAAAGATTAAGGAGCGGAAAAAGGTCCATCTTACAACCTGAGAGACATAAAAGGAAGGCAGCCCAGAACATGAAGACTGGTTCGGAAAGCGAATGAAAAGACATTACTAACAATAAACCAAAGGGGCACTACTAATACATTAACATTTATATTTGTTTTCCACAGATCAAGATGAAAGACGATTGACAACTCGCAGAAGAAGCCAAAAGAAGATTTGTTTAATACTAACAAAAGATTAACATACTAATAAGAGCATCACTCAACCTTTTCTTAGTCCCGCTATATACCTTCCCCTTTTCTGATATTAAAAGCAAAAAACTCTCTCCTTTTCAGGAGAGTCAATTAAAAAAAAAAAAAAAGACTGTACTGATAGCCTGCCAGGAAGATGGACTAGCGCAGCACCCGAGGAGACAGCATCTGTGGCGTTTGGTTGTCTGGAATCAGCATGCCAAACAGGGGTTTATGATCTGTCATGATGATGAGGGGTCGCCCGTAGAGGTAATTGTGGAATTTTTGCACGCCAGCCACGATTGCCAGAGCCTCCTTGTCGATCTGCACGTAGTTGAGCTCGGCTGAGGACAAGGTGCGGGAGTAATAGGATATGGGAACCTCTCAGCTGTCGGGTAGCTGGTGACTGAGGATGGCTCCAACTCCGTACGGTGACGCGTCACAGGCCAGGACAACTGGGAGTGCTTCATCGAAGTGCGCGAGTACCGTGTTCAAGGTGAGCAGCTCTTTGACGAAACAGAACGTGGTGGCTTGCTTCTGGCCCAAGACCCAGGGGGCCCGTTTGTCAAGCAGCCGGTGCAGTGGCTCCACGATGGCTGCCTTGCAATGTTCCTTCTAAGCTGTGGAGTCCTGTGAGCAAAAATTCTACCTTTCGAGCTCCTGGCATTAAAGTTGTGAGCAGCCAATTTGGCTACTGCCTACATTAGTTTGCTCTGGAGCCATCTTTCCTGAGC